AAACTCCATATTGTTCTCTAGACATCCATAGCCAGTAAGTTAAACGTATATATTAAACATATCAATAACGCGTAAATTAATCTACATTTATAATATTAAGATCTTTCGCTTTATGCTACCAAGCTATGGTTAAATATATTCAATAGGACCGGAAAACTTTCCATGGATATCATATATCTAACTGGTCACCTCCGACCACGTTACAGTGTGTATTTACTTAAAGCAACGATTTAGGCCAAACTTACGAAATGTAATGCTTAATCGATGTATTATACAATGTTTAAATATATATTGGCTCTATCGATTAATGTATTAAAACCTACAACCACGGCTAACATATGGAATTTTTTAGGATGAAAAAGATTTTGTATATGTTTATTTCATGTGCATATCATACACGAGGTTTCATGCAAACGAATAAACTTATCGTTATGATTGAACACGTCTATATACATGGCCACTGTGAATGCGGTCAAGTTGCAATATTTAAATATATTTAATTTTACATACACACACACACACAAAACACGTAGATCGAAAAAAAATGTTGTACACGATGCGATTATATTGACCAGGTATTTTTTTTTCTCAGCACAAAATCGCATAGGTAATCGTTAAGGCCACGAACCTTCGACGGCATAATAGGTGACTCGTATATATACACTGCACGTGTACAGACCGCTCTACTCCGCACGTACAATATTGCGATAAGCGTTTCGGGCCGGAGAAAATTGATTTTGCACTTTCCGCGCGTGGCGCAGGTGACATCATAAAACGCTGTTGCCGTAAACGTTGACTTTGACTCCCCCGGCACCACCCCCGCGGGGGATACTGTTGATTGGAACCGATCCCTTCTACGCGAAAGTTCACTTTATATATACGCCAGGGACTGTATATATACTCGGAGAAATCATTTTCTGCGCGCCACTTCGGTGCGCGTGCAGAACCCCCCGGGAATGGCCGCCGGATTAAATTTACTTTTCCGCTCCCACGCCGGTACACACGCCTTACCTACCTATACATACTTATACACCGGGTACAATATTTGTGTGTGTGTGTGTGTGTGTGTGTGTGTGTGTGTGTGTGTGTGTACGTCATTCGTCTTCGGCGAGGCCAAGTGGATTTTTGCTTCGGTTTTTACGATATAGTTCGGTATGTATAGTCGACGGCGGAAAAGGGAATGGAGGAGGGGCACTGCTTTGTGTTTTTTCATCTCTGCAGCTTTTTCTTTCGTTTGTTTGTTTTTACCCCCTTAAGCCGGTGAACTGTACGTATTTTATTACGCGTTCGACTCGCCCGAACTCGGCTCTCTCTCCCTCTCTCTCTCTCTCTCTCTCTCTCTGCCATTCTCACCGTATTATATAGTTATATATATTCCAAATAAACTCGATTTTCTTTTGTGAAAGTATAAGTAGTATACATACAAGCGCAAGTTTAACCTAAGTGTAGGTGTACGAAGTAAATGGCATTTTCCAATTTCTCGCGTCTTATACGTGTGTACGTGTAATTCCACTGTTTTACGATTCGCGCGATATTGAAATATATATATATATATAGGTAATACGTACGAGTCAAGCACACTCTCGAACAGGCGCCGGCCCGTGTATATGCATATAATAGATATATAATCGTTTTTCGTAAAACCAGCGAAAGGAAAACATAAAATATCCCGGATCCTTTGATGGACGTAAAAAATATATTATACCGTGAAGACATTTTTTCTTTATTTTTTTTTCACACTTATATTTCATCTACAGTTCTCGTCGATATCGGTATACTCGCTTTAAGTCTGAAAAATATATAAACAACGCGACAAACCAAAATTATTTGGATTATAAGGATTTATCCGTGTACCGTTGTGTTATTGTATCGTAGGTACTACCGCGCATTATCCGAAATGAAAACAAAAACCAGACACTTGCAATATAACTGTATTGCTCTAACGTGCGGACAACATTAAACGTAATTTTATTTATAGGTGCAATGCACGAGTTACAATCTTTCAGAAAGCTTATACGTGTACCGTGTATATACAACGGAATTAAATATCCGAGTATTAATACTTTGTATTAAAACCATTTTTGAATCCAGTTATATCTGAATCCGCTCAACAGCTACAGAGGATTTTAAACTGACATAAATGTCTTCCCATCAAATATTACCTTCAATCACATATCGCTTCACCGATGAAAAAATGCCATCACTACCAGCAACGTGGCATACGTTGCATTGGGTGTCATTCATAACCGTACACTTTCAAAAACAAGTCGTCGTTCAAAACCGCACACTTTTATATCTTAATCCCACATAGTTAATTAATCCCTCAAGTAGGTCCCAGGATAAAAAAAAGATATTGTATGGGACTCATACGAAACCGGCAATGTGAACTGTATATGCAGTGTGCAGAGAGAAAGGAACTGTTAACTTAATGTGTGTGGTTTTGAACTATCGACCTTTCAAATATCCTTTTTCAACAATAGAATAAATATGTGCGGTATTGAACGATGTAAAATGTGCGGTTATGAACGGTAAGTGTGCGATTTTAATTCAATTTTGACCACCGGTTGCATTATATTGTTTTTTTGGCCTTTATTATACATTTTTAATCATTATGTTTCCTAACTTCAAAATTATAGTTCCGAAATATGTTATTACATTTGTATACATTATGTAGGATATTAATTTAAATAAATGTCAACGTTTCGTAATCACTTGTTCGAAATCCCTCAATTAATTTTGATACATACACAATAAATACATTAATACATAATAATACATTTATTTATAAAAATAAATATTATTATTATAATTTTATATTTATATTTATTAATTATAAACGAATTTAATGTTTTTACACGTGTACCACATACAAACACATATTTCATGAGGTCTTGCTAAAAACGATTGTTGTACTTGACTACATATTATACATACATTTTACTGCAGTTTATAAGACCAGATTATTAATTTTAATTTGCAGATATATTAAATTCCTCATCAATAAATTAATACTTGTATAGTCTCAACACGAATATTATTTTTCATATTAGAACATCCTCATAAGTTTGAATGATGTCAACGTGCATGTAAAATTAGAAACGTGTACATTAATTTATTATCTGTCATGTGTAGGTAGGAATGTTTTTTCTCGTCGTAATTAAAAATAATTATTCATATATTGGAAACATAATACGACGTTGTTTTCAGATTAATTTTATCGTGTCTAATAAATTGATTGAGACGTTTCATTCAACGCTCACAGTTAAATGGCATCAACTGATGTTATAACTGTATATCATTTAAGTATATAATAATTGATTGCGTGCTTGCGTACGACGGCAGAGATTTATTATTGGTGTATAACTATTCATTCATTTAACTCTTCATAATATACACGTATTTTAGATATGGAGACATGATCATTTGTAATATACTTAACAACACAACTGTTATACGACCCAATAAAAGTTAGTGATCTTAAGCGGCCAACAACAAGACGTGATACAATAAACACGTATATAATTTCGCACGTTCCTTTCGGAGCTCGTATTTAATATATTACTACAATAAAACTTGTTTCATGCACGAAATTGATAAGTTAAAATACAATATATTGTTTTATCAACGAACCCATGATTTATTTGATTTTATTCATAAGAAAATGTTAATGAAAAAATTATGAATAATATACTAGGAATGACTTCGATCATACGTAATTATTTCAACGCGAGTATTGCCAAAAATTATATTTTATAAATTTCTAAAATCCAGGTCAAGACTCTTCTATGATAGTACAATAATAATGTTAATTAAAAAAAAATGCATTATGCTGCACGCAATTGAGCTAGTTCAATTCAAATTCAACGTTTTCAAATTGTATATAATATACATATATATATATATATATATATATATATATTATTTAACGGTTATGTCATATTTGTAACGATTAATTTTATACGTTCGCTATTAACGAATTGTTTTAATAAACTAAACATTGTTAAGATATTTTTGTTCTGTTATTATTACCAACGCTACCAATCTACCGAAATGTATAGGTAAAACTCGAAAGCAGTTTCATAAAAATAAAATAAATCATTATTAAATCATTGTGCTCTAAACGTAGCGAAGACTTTACAAATACTAGTCAACACTCTCCCCAATAGCACCGACGGACGACGAGTGGTATAAATATAAAACCGTATTGTTCGAAAAACAATATAATATTCATTATACGATATATAATTTACTGTTGTATTATACATTTCAGTACATGCGTACAGTAGTATCGCAGCATTATGTAGATACGCAGGCTGTGTCAGAAAATCGTGTGGGTTGACTAGGACTGCTGTTGGGCGTGTATAATGTTTATTTTTTCTTCGGAAATCGTCGACACTCGGTGATTTCATAAACGTACAGGTCCGTCATGGACGGATGGTACACCGTGTTTTCGGTGCCCGTAGTTTAGCCGTATCGAACAACAGCGTTTGAGACGCGAGCCCAAATAAACCGAAGGCGACACAATGCGGTGAAAGAATACGTAAAAAAAAAAAAAAACAAAATAAATGCCAAGAACGAAACGCTAAGGATAGAAAAAAAAATAGGCTGGACAAAGAAAAAAAAAAATAAACAACATCCCCAAAAAATACCGGGTCGGAAGAATGCGGGAAAAGAAAAGAAAATGGCATGCTTCCAGGGGACATGTATAGAACACACAACCGTCCGTTTGTTCCGTCCGAATTACCAATTCAAACGATGAGTCCTGTACGCACACGCACACACAAATACACACAAATCGGTGACGAGAAGTAATCCGGCCCTGCAGTCATAAATCTGAGGTCGCAAATATAACGCTCCGGATTATTACGCGTTGGCGTCGTCTCCTTACCCCCCCCCCCCTCCCCGGATCCATACTTCCGTCCTTCCGATCACGGTCACTTATTTTATTTGTCCGAACCTTTTCAGTCGATTTATTGTTGTTGTTGTTGTTTTTGTTTCAGACGGTTCGTTTCGGGGACGACGTCAACGGGTCCGTCTCCGGCGGGTTAGTGCACAGTAAGCGTACGATTTAACACGCTGCGGTGCTGTGCATAATGTGCGCACTCGACCGCCGCACACGGCACTGGCCGACGTACTGACGTACGCGATTTTCAACTCCAACACGGGCCGACGGTTCGAACGGATTTATGCGCCGCAGAAGAATATCGTAATCCGTATATACACAGTTGTACGTACGATGTGCGCACGCATGAATAAGTGTACGTCATCAACTACACCCTCGGCCGGAGGCGGATTTAATTTTTTTACGGATATATGCACTAGAAAATCGCTTTAAGTGTATAATAGTATTCTGATAGGTTTGAAATTTTAAACAGTTTTTTTCTCGCTTCAGATCATTTAGCGGACTCCGAAAAACGTCCACCGAATCCTAACGAAAACGCGTACAATGATGGTTATTTACGGATGGACCGTAATTAGTAAGACCGTTGTTTGGACGGTTAATATTGCTTTATTTATCGAAACATGATAAGGCACTTTTTTTTTTCTTTCGTACAAACGATGTACCTACTTTAATAAAGCATTACGAAATTTACCCGCAACTGCCTATCGACAAGTCGGCCTCTGCTCCCGGAGCTGCGCGTTGCCGTTTTCGTGCAATACGTATGTACTGCATAAAAAAAAAGTCAGCGCACGGACGTAATCCGAGCGAACGCGTTACGCAGCCCACCCGGTACCTCGATTATCGTTATGATACGCTCTCTAGCCTTCCGTGCCTTTTCGTCGACTTCAACCGAATGCCTTCGATATAGTACGTTTAATACACGCTCGCGTTCGAGTGCACGTGCTTTCATGGCGTTCCGGTGCGTACACTGTTTATTTTTATTCGTGCCGCGTACCGGATATATAATACATGGGCGAGCATCAATCGGTTTAAGTGAACGCGCGTAACGCCGATGTATAATAACGATCCGAGAAAATCGCTAACGTTTGATTGGCCGGTTATATTTTAAATGATACATTTTTTTTTTTTCGCTCTCCTACTCGTCCATTCGCTTTCTCTCTCACTCTCTCTTTCTCTCTCTCTCTCTCTCTCTCTCTCTCTCTCTCTCTCTCTCTCTAGATCTCGTACCGTACGCGACTTTCATTTCATACGACCCTTTTAGGTCGATTAGAGTTTAAAAATTAATATTTTCAAACCACTAATATACGAGTTGCGCGATTTTCGTGTGCATTACACGTGTTCGTACGAAAAGTAAAAATATCAACGCGGCGCGTTCTAAAAATACAACAACCAACAATTGTTGTACGCAGCAGAGTATGTGTGCATACATACACAAGGTTCGAGAGCACGTAAACATTGCGTTGGCATTTTAAACGAACGAGTATTAAACGAATGCGTTGATGGATTGAGTTCGAACTGCAAAACCGCAAAGTTTATACTGCGGTCCGCAAACGTTTGTCTCGTACGGAACACCGGGATTCGCGATTTAATTACGAGTAGTGCTCGCGATTGTAAAACCGCCCGAAAACGATCGCGAGTGAATTTAACACGATCCGCGACGCGTACACGGAAATATTGTGTAAGCCGTAGCGTGGAGTGATTCATTGAGATCGAGACGCGCTCGTAATGCATTAACTTAGAACAGGGTCTTAGCCGATCATCTCGTATGTGAGAGGTGAACCTTGATTGTTGTTTATGAATTCGTTTCAAACGATCTCGTACCGATTTAAACAATCGTCAACACTTTTACATACGGGCCCACGTACATCACACGTGACTGCGATGAATTCATCGAGCACCAAAAATACACTCTTCATAATATCCTACAATTAATGTGTACCAAAGTGTATAATTCGTTCGTATACATGTGTGTGTACAACATCCGTGCAACATCGAGCGTGTGCGATAAATAATGTGTTCCTTCCCGCCGTCCACGACGCGATGCTTTCATTGCTGTACTGCACGCGTATACGTTATACCCACGAACACGACTCGGACTCGGTAAGTCGCAGTGAATAATAGATATTTTTCTGGCTTATGGACCCTGCGCTTCGCCAAATGCGATTGACACAATAACTCTCGGGCGTACACACCGTGTGTCGCGTCAAAGGCTTTGGGAGGTGTACGAGACGAGAAATCCTGTTTGGCCGCGAACCAAATGTTTTAAGTATAGAAAAATGTTAACTACACCCGCGCGGCAACCTCACGTGATGTCGCATCTCACGCGCGGTCGTGCCCAGCAGAAATCCAATTCGTTTCGGCGCACATCGGACACATCTGTATCAACGTTAACGATGAGAAAAAAATTCTCCCGAGGTACGGACAAAACAACCTATCACCATAGTGTTTTTGACACGTGTACAATATACGACGTTTTCGTACGAATTTTATCTGTCCCACGTGCCGACTCATAACGTCACCAATACATTATTGTACGTCCCGCAATTGAATTATCGATGTCAATTATTCGCCGTCCTGTATTAACAGTTATTTTATCACCTTCAGATGTCGTCGGGATGTAAAGCCAAGACGTGTAAATGATCGCGTACGTGCACCAACCAATACGGTGCTGCTCGTCGCCCCGTTTCATAATTTATATCGTTCGTACAATCGACTCTTCGCGGGCATGACGTCTCCTAACGTTTTACGATGTCGACGCGCGTACGCCACTACTACGGTTTAAAATGTACGATGTTTGCGCCTGCGAAACTGTTCCGTTCTAATAACGTCTTCTTCGTTGGACGTGCGCCGCGAACGGTCGAAGGACTTCTGCGGCAAAACTCGTGGTTTGCGCAACGTTCAAAAGTCGCCGTCGCAACGAACACCACGTGAGAACCTAAACGCACGTAAAGTTTACACAAACGCGACCGGACGGTGCGCAAATCGTTTTCGGGCCGTGCGCAAGTGTACGATTCGGAAAACCGAAAAAAATCACTTCCGAGTTGACGCCCAATGTTGAGATTGTTTCGACTACACAATAATACTCGCGGTACGCGTTCTCGTCGTTTACTGTTTACGCGTAGGTGTTTCCTAGTTTTTTCCAGACGCTGTTCTTACACGATACGATGATCGTTTCGTGCAACCGTTCTTCGCGCGAGAAAAACTGATCGTGGAAAAAGTGAAACTGCACGAAAACGTTTGTCTTCTCGTGCGGGGTAACTTGGAAGGTACGAACAACACGCTCGAGCGTGTGATAAAACGATTGGAAATGCGAGCGACAGAACTCGAGTTGACCAAAGTTGATCTACCCTAATCGGTGCGAACCGTACCGACAGGCCATACGTGCACGATTGATATGCGTAGTTTGCGAACCGTTTCGGCACGTTATGCTCTCCCTTCCGGCTCGCAGAAAAAAGAAAAGAAAACTTTTCGCTGTCCACGCGTTTTGATTAAATGCGTGTAAAATGTAAATGTACTTCACGGGCGAACGCGAGAATTTCGACGGTTTAAATATTTCTAACGACCGCTCGTGTTCGAGTCCGCGCCGCGCATAGGTATATTCGTATAACACTACAGCCCAGGCCCATGCGCAGGAATCTTTCAAAGGGGAGGTGAGATATCCATGATCAAAATTATCAAGATCGAAAAACGATAAATGTCAACAAATGTCCGAACGGATTGAACAGCTGACTGGTTAGTGAAAATGAGTTCTGTCGATTGCTGCATTTACAGCGGTAGTCGACAGTAGATGAAAAAGGTGCGAACATTTAAAAGAGAAAAGTGCGTTAAATCGAAAAAATTGACACTGTTAAAACAAAAATAGACTATCATGTAATAATTTTCAAAACAGTTTGACTTTTATAGAACGAGGACTAGGTATATCCTTAGTAAAAATGTACGATGTAAGATCCTCATTGCGGGAGGTTTAGATCCTTCAAACCCCTCCCCCTTGCGCACTGACCTGATACAGCCATATGTTGCCTTATTACAATCGTCGACGAAATCATCGTTCTGTTTCAGACATTAATATATTGTAACCGACTTCCGAGTCAATATTATTATATATATATTATATTGCGCCCATGTAACTGCGCGTGATGTTATTTTTAGGAATAATTTTATGATTTCATGTACTGTTAAAAATACGTGTGTTTTTAATTATTTTTTTCGGTACGTCTAAGCTGCAACAGTGTCCGACGGTAGGCATAACTCATTGCGCGCATATGGCACGATAATGCGCATAATAATAATACTATCATAGTTTTATCGGATCTATAATTTATGGAACGGATGAACGGAGAGAGTTTCACTGACTCCTGCACGTATCGACCCGGTGACACTGGTGTAATACGCAACTATTATGTCCTGGGTAATAATATGCAACATTTCATCGATAACGTTACGTGCGTTTTTCTCGATTCATTACTATATTTTGTGCAAGTATACTGCAATAGTTGCATATAAATATATGTACTGAATACCAACAGGTGACTGGATTTGTAATCGTCTTTTGCAACGATTTTTTTTTATTTCTAATAATTTTTTCCTATTGTGTTTGTAGGTACAGAAATAATAATTATTTTTTCTTCACATAGCACTGCATTTAATTATATACATTATTTATTTTATATGAAAAAAAAAAACTATAGTTTGTACACATTATACTGAACATATATAATATTGTGTCGAACAGAAGGAAGAAACGATTCTAAAGTTAACAAAATGTAGAGTTCCTTAACATTGTCTAATTAATTATATTCACTGGGTTATAATTTAAGTATTCGTTAGATCATTTCTCACTGGTTAGAACAAATTAATTAATTCGGCCTTAGTTAAACGAATAATTTATGTACTGTGTACAAAACTATAAAATTAGTAATTACACATATGAATATATACACTTATGCACAAGAATAAATACATTTTTTATGTAATTTACTATTATCTGCTAAAGAACTTAGCATTTTCCGGCTGAAACATTATTTATATTTTTCGTCATACATAATATAATATAAATATATAATTTATAAAAAATAAACAATTATAGTAGAACTCTTCAAAATTATTTGGGTTCGCTAAATAAATTTTTTTAAATTGTTGCCTATTGTTATGATAAGGGTTTTAAATATTTAATTTTTGGAAGTTATTCCTAAATATCACATATCCAATTGAATCCAGACCATGTTACAATTACATAATAAAAAAGTTGAGAAGAATGTTTATATATATGGTATATATATTGATACGATTTTCACCAAAAATTAGCTGTTTTCAGTAACAAAAACTTCAGAGAAATTTTTATAATAATTACAAAATACTATTTATGTATTAGGAAGCTAAAACTTAATACGTTCAACTAAATTACTTTCTGGTTGTCTAATTATTTAATGAACACTTAATTGTTTTCAATCAATTTTTCATGTATAAAATTTAGTTGTTTTCATAAATGTAAGATTTAGAGTAATAATACATTTAAAATAATTATAATAATATAAATTTATGTTATTTCCAATTTTGATAAGGTAAAGCTGATTAAAAAAAAAAAAAAATGTTTAATGTAGTTGTTAGAAAATTTAGTTACTTATTTATTATGTATGTTATGACTAAAAATAAATACATTATAGCATTACACCTTTTATTTCATTTTAACCAGAACAAAATACAAAATTTCCCACGAAAATATGTTTATTCAAAAAAGTATCAGTAAACAATATACAGGTACACATCATGATTTTTATGCAAAATAGTAATTCTTCGTGGGATACAACTTGTATATATAAAATAACTACATTGTCATTGAATTTGACATTTTGTACATTCCTACTTATATACATATATACACAAAATGTAACTACTACCTACGGTTTGTGAAGATTATTTACGGACAGGGTGGATAAAATATTGTTGTAAAATGATTTATGTTTAATTTTTCAGCAGTAATATTTGAAGTTTATAGAAATGTTGTTTCTGAAAATTTCAAAATTGGTTTTTGATGACAAATCTAATGGCCGAATATAGAATAAATTTATATAATGATTGCATAAATTAATTCTGTTTGCATGATTTGTTTAATATTAAAGGAACATGCATAAAATATATTTTAATACATAAGTATATCGATTGGTGCGAATTACCAAAAAAAAAAAAAAAAAAACAACTTATTAATAATCATAATAAGAAACAGGTTTTAGAATAAAAAATATAAACGAGACTCTTCGAATAAATAAGGGAACAGGTTTTTCGAAAAAAGAAAAAAATTCTATTCGTTTTAATTTTACTAATTTCTCTGGATTTTCGGTCGTCCGATAATCTTTCTGATTAAATTAATAAATGAAAATAATTATATACTTGTATGCAATACGTGCACTCACATAGTCGATGTCTACAAAATATGTACTACACGCGTCATTTCATGTCATGTACATTTCTAGAAAACTATTTTTTAATTTGTTTTATTTTTTAATCGAATTTTCTATTTTTGATAGAACTTTACGATGCTGCGTGGAACGCAAACGATGACGTACTTATACTTACGTTCTATGTGTTTACAACGAAGACCATATTGATCATCGCCGAGACAACTAGCAACAACAATCGCGACAATTTCGCATAGGCGCGAACAAAGACCATTATTCCTTAACAGCTCGCTCTGAACGACCATCTTAGATCCGGTCAAAAAACTGTTGTAAAATACATTGCGTAATAGATTCGGTTGACGAAAAAGGTAGCGTTGCTTATGAGTCAGTACGTTTTTCGTATAAAAACCTTTGTTGTTCGAACATTTTCATACGAACGACAAAAAAGGAGAGTTGGGACATTTGTCGTCACAATATTGTAATACGCACGCGCGCGTGTAAAAATGTATACAGGAAACTCGATCCGCGGCAGCGAATATGAGAACAAGATTTTTCGTAAACTCAATTTATTCGCGTACATAAATATTTTCTTTGATCTTTTTCGAAAATCACCGTTTCTTACGAAGGTCGACAACGGGAGTTTACGGATTCGCAGCAAGAAACCTCGTGGTAAATGTGATGTGAAAAAAAAAAAAGAAGAACAATGAAGTTCGTAATCATCGGGCTGAAGGTGAGGGGGTGGACGAACTCGTGCGGAAACTGTGCACAGAGCAGTATTTGTGTGTTCCGGGGGTTGTGGGGTTGTGGGATTTTGACCTAAATATTGGTGGCCGGCGCCGGGTAGAAAAACGCGCGCGCGCGTACCCGTCGGTTTGCACGTTCCGCCCACACGCGTTCCGAAGGGATGAAAAATCAATACGACCCCAGGGTCGGCGGTACCGATGTATTATGGCGATCGCGGCTCGTCGGGCCCGGGAAGGGGCCGTAGTAATATTATCGTCGTGTGCACGTCGCGGCGCATATTCCTGCGCGACGGCACCGTGGTGCAAAAGGACCTATCGCGCGTCGCCGTTTTCGCGAACTTCGTTTTTGTGGGATGGTAGGCGAGCAGGGGGCGCGACTGTGGCAGGGATGACTACGTGTGGTTCATATCATTTACCGTCTCATCACCGTCGCAGTCATGCGACACAATTACCGTCATTAATAATTACTGCAATCGATGGATCAGTTGGATCGTTGGACACGTCGATCGATGGGCTTGCACTCGACACATCGCTCTGTTGGACATTCGCGACCGCGCACCCAATAGATCGCGGACCGCACTAGATCTCACCATCGTCCGTGAACTATCCGAAAACGCGCGAGTGCGTTGCACCCTGGGATCAACAATTTCGGTGTCAGGTCCGCGCGAATTCCGAAAAAACTCTTCGATAATGCAACTGTTTATTTATTCTAATAATACCCGTAAATTATGAACCCAAACACCGAGCTAATGAACGACCCGCGTTCAAACAACATATGAACGTTTATTTTGAGAGCAGTTCGGATTTTTTTTACAAATGGATACTCGCCGTACATCCGTACCGTTCACGTAATGTATACGTCATGGCACTATGAAACCGATTTTTGACGACCATGTTGTATCATGTCAGGATCAAGCTTGTCAAATCGGATTTTCTGCTTGGGTGAATACATTTTTGACACAGTTTGTGGATTCAAAATTTTTATTTCAAGTGCAACGCAACTACCTATATAGAGCGTATTCTCTTCCAGAAACGGATCGTTTTGTGCGAAAGTATTTACACTATATTATTTTTTTTGTATGTTATTATATAGTTTTATCTGTGCAATGGAACCCGAACCGTCGTTCAAGTATCTTCTTCAGCAGCAACAACACTGAGAATAAAGCAGGACGGTTTATTGCTCGTCGAAACGTATAAATTATCATAATGTAAGTTCTTCGCCGACGACCGAATCCTCTCTCACCGGAGCTCCGATAGAAAAGATAGCCGTAAAACACGATAATAATGCAACCACGTTCTGGACTCGAGTGTGTACAGCCAACGTTGCGTTATTTACCGCGCGACATTCTTAGATATTTATTTAAATATATATGTGCGTGTGTATATATATATATATATATATATATATATATATATATATATATGATCTATACAATACACGAATAGTGTATTATATATACTATATAACATAATAGTATATGGTTAAGGATTGTATGAGGCTCGATGTAATTAATATTTTGTCGGAATAATATTGTACATATTTTTACGAGTGTTATCAAAGACGATCCGATGAAACGCACTTATCATGTGCGTTTGTATAGTATAGTATAGTATATTTAATTTATGTAAATTATTATCATGCTGAGCGGCGATTCTATTAAAAAAAATAAATAATGTTTAATGTTTATAATTATCAAATGTATATGTCACTATATATTGGACTTATAAGCATCTGTATCCTATGTATTACATTGTGTATTTGTGTGTCACACAGTTTTCTATATAAATATGGTTAGTATACATTAAATATTAATAATTTACAATTAAAAAGTATACAGTTTCGAAAACAATTATTTTATATGCGTAACGTGGGATGCGTTTTTGTCTAGTAATAATTTGATCTATATATTATTTATTCGATTGTGCAGTGTATACCACTAGTAAGTTAATTGGCTTTGAATGTTATTAAATATTTCAAAAAAATTTTTATTCATTATATACTATATAAAAATTCCTTTTTTAATTAAATAAATACCAAATATTACGCTCCGTTTTGAACACAACATATTTGATGTGAATCGACCCCACTGTAATTTATAGTATTATGTATAATGTAAACACATTTATATTAAGGAAATATGATTTATACATTATGCACTTCGCTCAAAATATATTTCTAAATTTAGAATATTATATTACTAAACTTGTAAACTGATTTAATTGGTATGCTGAAGTCGCCTGTATGCATAAATTAAACAATCAGTTATTTAAATTTGCTTAGATTTTTTCAGCGAGATTATAGGGAATTAAATTGAATTTATTTAAATAAAATGCGTCTATATATATATATATAAAATGTCCGATAAACACCTATTGCCATAGAAACATTCTCCTATTTTCTGAATACCAATACAAAAAAAAAAAAAATAGCTAACAAAAGATTTTTAACAATATTATGTGTATAACTGGTAGTAGTACGATACAGG